TTATTTTCATGCAATACTGTTTTGCTCAGTTCATATAAGGAATTATTAATAAGGCAGATTTTGTGCCATCTTATTTCAATAAGCAGTAGCATAAATATAAGCTCAATCAATTGAAGAATGCTAGTTATCGCATCGCATCTTCTCTTGTTAAGAAATCATGACTACCAAACTGACTGTTTCCACTACAATATCTATTGTGTCAATCGTGCATTTTTTGTGTAAATATTTCAGGGGTGAAGCTATTTCTGGCAAGTAATACGCCTTTTAAGATATCTACTTCATTTCGGTAAGATAACTTACAAACGAGGAAGTATTTTCGGTTAGAAAATGAAGAAACACCTTTTCCTGACTGAAATAGATGACATAATTGCATAATTTTAAACAGCAAAGAGAAAAACCTATTTCTTGCGTTTCTGTTGACATTTTAACTTTAATTAATACTTAAACATGCCTAGAGGGTTTAAAAATAGAACTGAAAAATGTGCCAAGTGTGGAACTGCTTTATAATATGTATATTGGAGACATCATAACCTGTCAACGTCAACGTGTCTAGACAAATCCGTCCTTTTTTAAAAGCTATTAACTGATTCTCTATACAATTTAAATAAACTCGAATAACATAACAGAAAAAGTGTAAAAGGTCAGGACAAGGTATAACGTAGATCCGGAAGGTGCTGGTTAAACACATAACTGAGTCTACGAATGACTGAATGAAAATGGAACAATCGGAAACCTGATAATTCAATAAATTCCTTCAAATTTCTCAGGAGGTAGGACAAATTACGTAAATAAAATAACGAGTTTAACTCCGTACAGTGAACTGTTCTACGGTTGATTTTGAAAGGAACCAAACAGCCATGATATGTTGTATGAACCAGCGAACACAATAACGATAGGTATCATTGTAGTCGTGGTTAAAAAGTTCATAGAGGATCCGGATCTGAAGCAGACATGACGTAAGAAACTATGGTAAAGACTCGTCAGTACATTCGTATTAGAGAGAGTGTAAGATGACCAAAATATAGAGCCGCAGGTCAGAATTGAGGGAACCAGGATATTACAAGGATGACGAAGTGCGGCAGAATGTGAAACTACTAATGAACCCTAGAGATCTGAATGTAGAGAAGACGCAATAAATGATAGAAATATTGTGTTTTGCAAAGGAGAATGAAGATATGAAGGTGACGCTAGGGTCCTTGATTTCATCAACCACATCAAGGACCGAGTAGCCAATTAAATAACCAAATGAAAAAGGTAGATTGGAGCCTGTAATTTAAATAAATTAGAATAACATATCAGAAAAAGTGTAAAAGGTTAGGTGTTCATGCAAGTAGCTAGGACAAACTTGCACAAATCTTTAAAGGGATTCTTGGAGTACACAAATATAGTGCCCTACAATGGCGAGCCGAAAACAAAAAAAATCAATTCATCATGATGTCATCAGTCCTAAGACAGTCCTTTCTTTCCTTAGCTAATCTTCGCATTTCCCTAAAATTAGAACATCCCACATCACTAACTATTTGCGAACAGTAATCTAATCTAGGTGTACCTCCACTCTTCGTAACTCTTGTATCTACCTCTAATATATCTCTGACTGGACCTTCATGAAGGTGAAGGTGTCCTCCCAACCTATCTCGCTTATTTTTTATTGACTTCCATAGAGTCCTTTTGTTCTCCTATTCTTTCTAATACCTCTTCATTTCCAACCTTCTCCTTCTCCAACCTTCTCTATCCACGCTATCCTCATTTCGAACGCTTCTAACCTTTTCTTTTTCGCCGCGCCCACCGTTCATGTTTCGCTTCAAACATATAACTTTATCAATCTTTTTCGAATTTCTAAGTTAATCGTTCGCGAGCATAGAAGTGACTTCTCTTTATTGAAGACGATTTGACCCTGTGCTATCCTCTGCTATATATCCCTACTAGTCCTTCCGTCCTGACTTATCTGACTTCCTATTAGATACCTAAAATCAGCCACTTATTTTTCTAGTTATAAATCCTGAAAATTCTTGACGTGTTGCGGCAATTCTGATGCAAGGGGAACCAGCGTCCATCATTGTTTTGTTCCTTTTTTAATCTCTAGTGTTGTTAACTGGTAGATGTTAGACATTCAAGATAAGTGAGATATATATACCTATCAATGTTACTATTAAGATACATGTAATCATATATTCACATAAGCCGATTAAAGTCAATAGTCATTCATTCATTTTTGGTTCATTTTATTGCAAACAGAAGGTCGAAAGAAGTCAGAAGAAACTACGTTTAGAATAACTGTTAATAAATACCAAGGGTAAACGTTCTTTTGGTTCGATTTGAAATCTTAGCGTTGAATTATGGAAATGGGATTAATTTCATGCCACGGAAACGGAAATAATATTAGTAATAGCTTTTAATCAATCGATGCTGCCTACGAGCGGCGCTTGGCGAGAGAGAGAGACAGAAGACACATTTGTCAACTGTTCGCTCATTTTATTCGTTACCGAGGTTATATATTGCACATCATAATTCACGACTTCTATAAGATTGCCCTTTTTATATTGACGGGAGTCATTCTCATATTTATTTTGGAATCGAAAGTATGAAGGTATTTCTTGGAATTGCTATCTCGTTTTTGGCAATTGAATTATTTATTATTTTTTTACGGTCTGCGAAAACACAAATTGATCGAAAAAAATAAAAATAAAATGGAATGCATCCAGCTTTTTATGCGGACGTAAATAATTTTCTGGCGGCGCTACACCAAAAAGAAAAAAATATTGCATGCCTGTGATTCATAAATTTGTTTTGTGTTCATTGAGCTCTATTAAATAGTAAACATGTGCACAATGCCAATAGGTGTCATAAAATTGAAATATTTATTCCAACTACTTTTTATAAACATTTTCTCGTAGACATACCACTTATTGATGATATGAAAATTACTTTAGTTATTGGTATAAATTTCGACAATCTAGATGTCGTCTTCACCCTGATGGAAAGCATAGGAAAAACTGTGGCAAAAAGTATGAAGAAAAATTTTTCATAAATTTTCATAGCTACTATTTATAGTTTTCTCTACAAAAATTCTTGTCCCACGACTTTACGGGTTATGTAATGAAATATTGATTGGCTTGGTTTGTTTAACTCCAATGAATATTTGTTAAAAAATTTTATAATAATATTATATTAATGGATTCACCCTTAAACTGTTTAAATACATAAATTTGTATGAATTGTATGAACGATAGTTTATAAATGCCTTCGATGCCGTCTTTATCTCTTCAATCGTAGCGTAGCGCCCTCCTTTCATAGGCCTCTCCAGTTTCGGGAACAAGAAAAAGTCACAGGGGACAGAGCATTGGAAAACAGTGGCTGCGGCATTATCAGTGTGTCGTTTTTGGCCAAAAATTCGAATACAGGCAACGATGTGTGAGAAGGGGCGTTATCATGGTGCAAAAGCCAATCTTTGTTCCTCCAGAAATCTGGGCGTTTCCGGCGGATTCCTTCGCCCAAATTGAGTATAACATGCATTCCTTTAACTTCCATAACATTCCTTATTAACCGTTCCACCCTGTGGCGGGAAACCCATGTTGCACCACCCCCTGCAATCGAAGAAAGGTGTAAGCAAAACCTTCACATTCGACCTAACTTGGTATGCTTTTTTCAGTTTTGGTTCGTGTGGCAGCTTCTATTGGGATAATTAAGCTTTAGTTTCCACGTCATAACCATAAACCCATGATTAGTCACCAGCTATGACCCACTGGAGCAAATTTGGGTGGTCGCAGATAGAGATCAACATCTCCTTATCATGTTAATGTGATTCTGGTTTTGGTCGAAATTGAGCAATTTTGGTACGAATTTCGCGGCGACTCGTCTCGTGCCCAAATCAATGGTAAAAATTGAATGGCGGGAGCCAGTCGATAGTCGATATGTTTGGGTATATGATTCGACGATTGGCCAATACAATATTCTTCAGATCATCAATATTTTTGTCTGTAGTTGACGTCCTAGGGCGTCCAGCACACTCTTCGTCGTTCACATCTTCTCAGCCCTTTGAGATCATTTTGTATCAGCGTTAAACGTTGCTTCGGCCCAAGGTAGCTTCACCATATGCCACAGTTCACATTCGGAATGCATCCCCGCACTTAATTTGGTTTTCACACAAAATTTGATACAGATTCTTTGATCAATTATTTGGAATAAGCAGATAGGGAAGACGTACCAAAATACGTGCAAGCGAAGCAGCTTACAAAAGTCAACTGAAAATTCAATATGGCCGAACTTGTCGGTATAGGTGAGAGACATGAGTACCAACATAACGCCACAAGAAAATCGAAAATCAAATACACGTAACCCGCGGAAATTCAAAACTCGCGATACTTTTTAAATAGACTTCGTACACGACTACTATATAAGAAATACATTTTCTTACCAGTTTGCAAGGAGTGAGGTGTCGGATCGAATTCTAAGTTCATAATAATTTGCAAAAATCCTAGTATGGATAAGGATTTCTATCCTAATTCATTAGATTATCTTTATTTTTGTATTTAAACACTATCAAAAGCATATTTATGACTTTATTGCGGAAACGTTGCAATTGTTTATAATATATTAATAATCGTAGTGATTATCAATGACCTAGAAGAAAGTTGTCCCTAAAATGCATTGGGTTTCTGGTTAATATTTCCGTTCTTCCACCTCAGGAAGCCTCTATGTGACAAAAAACACTTTGTGGTCTTTACTAAACCGTTTCGTAACTTAAACTTTGCGTTTATTCTCGTCGTTATTTCCTTCCTGGTTTACTACAGCCATCTTGGATTCACTTTTTTTTACCAACTGCATCGTATCTGTTAGAAACTGCATCAATTTTTGTTACGGCGGTCAGTAAACTCCTCATTGACATGCAAGAATCCGTAGTACCCACTTAACGTGACTTAAGTAACGATAAAAATCAAGTTGGCTGTAATACGCTTGCGCTTGTTACTTTTTTTTGCGCTCATATATACGGGAACGCGCTCGCAATCGCGTGTATTATATAGATCGGTGTTGTTTGAGGGACTTCGCGGGTCATTGAACGCGCTCATACACCACAATCTCTAAAACAATGTCAGTTGTTAAAGGAAAAGTTGCACTTGTTACAGGAGGAGCTTCGGGGATCGGTTTAGAGTTCGCAAGGGAGCTTTTGAAAAATGGATTGAAGGTAGGAATATTCATTTAATTATTATTGAATAAATAGTTAAAAAAAAATGTGATGTTATTTACGTGAGATTTTATTTGGGACAAAGTGGAAGTCCTTTAATTTGGCGCTGTTAACATTGGGTCCTGCAAATTGTGGGTATTTTTGAATCAGTTGTCCTATCTATTTTTTGTGTTTACTTTTAGGGTAATTTAAAAAAAAATATAGAGTTATGAATGTTTTGAGCTAGTTTCCAAAAGCGACCATGAAATGTAGTCAGGTGATTTTGACTCGACGTGGATCTCGATATCCTATCGAAAATTAATGAAAATTCGAGTCCGTCTTGTCTTGTCGTTGTATACGTGATATTGATTTGTTTTAGTCTTTGTCTCAGTGAATATTGATCTCTACTTCGAATATCTAAAGTATTAAAATTTATGCGGAAATAATAGTATAATAAAAAGAATACTTCAATAAGATTAATAGCTGATATATATATAGATCATCTGATATGCATACATACATGTATACATTTATCTATTTCTTTTAATTGCACCATTTGTGACATTGCTTTGCTTTTCCTAATTCAAAAACGGGATATATACAAAATCTTGACCAAGCCGTAGTTAAGTTTCTCGATTTGTTGATATTTCACGCCTTAAAGACTTAACCGATCATCATGAAATTTTGTACACACACTATCAGGAGTACAGAAAAGGGCATAGGGTATCTTTTATCTAGAAAAATTAGATTTATGTGGTTCTGGGTGATCGTTGACAAGTATTTAGGAAATCAATGCGAGCAAAGCCGCTGGTAAATTTAGTATAGTATATTCTTAACTCTTGCGGAACTCCTATCTCAGTGGAATAATATAAGAACAAAGGCTTTCACGGCCGGAATCCATAATAGAATGCAGATTCGGGCTATAGGGCCGTGGTCTAAATGAACGATTCCGTCCAGACGTTTCGTCAGCTACTGCAGCCCTATAGCCCGAATCTGCATTCTACTATCAGTGGAATAATATTCCAATTGGACGACGACGCTGAATTATAAGATTCCCCATTCATGCGTTTGTGAATTTTTTTTGATACAATAAAATTAAAAGAAAACACTTTTAAATGTTCCTACGGTTCCTAATAAACAATATTGTTTCGTGTGGTCAGTCCTCCTTCAAGATCAATTAGTTACTAAAACAAGGAAGGACTAAGCGCCAAAAAAGTATTGTAGACCAAATTGTCAAAACGTTTTCTTTTCATTTTATTTCTGGAATTTTTTGTTGACTTGTGAATGAATTAGACTTTAGATTAAAGATAAATTTATCATTTTAAAGTGATAATTTTTTATCGCTGCCCACGTGTGTACTCCATTTTGTTTATAATGGTAAATAGATGTTGAAAATATTTGATATGAAGTTCAAAAGATTCAAGTACTTACCTAACGCTCACGGTACATATTATAAAATAGATTAAGCGTAATATTATTTACGATGATAGTTAGTTGAGCAAATTTCAAAACAAACTTATTTTAACCCAAACCGCTGCCTGCAATTTGTTATTTATATAAATATGAATGAGAAGTAAAATGACATCTTGAAACATTCTCAAATGCAATTATCCAATTATAAACACAGGTAAATGCTGAACATATTTCAGTTTTATAAATGTGACATTCAAAATGTTTTAAATTTCTTTAGCAAATTGACGTAATATATTGTGGTGAAATAGGATTGAACAGTCTTAAATCTTAAACTGAAATATGTATCAAAAATCAGGATCAGTTTTTGACCTTTTCCTAGGTGATACCCATTTTGGGAATAAAGAACATAAAATGAAGATTTTAAAAACCACGCACAAACAAATACATTAGTTAATATATCTTTAGTTCATTTGCACAATCCTCAGCGCAAGCAATAACTGTTACATATCGATTGCCTATCTTGTAACGATACATATTAACTAGTAATTAAAAAAAATCTCATTACTTTGGATAATCCGGCTCGAAGGACCATGACATAAGTTAAAAATTTCGTATATCACGTGGTCGTAAATGCTTTTCAATAATGGTAATTATCAAACGCCAAGGGAGTAGGGTAAAACTAGACAATAACATATCATAAAATAAATAATGCGATTCCGGCTATCAGAATTCTTAGTTAATAATTAAAAAAGTGTCGAATATTCACACATTTGGTCCTCTTATATTCAACACGTTGTTAAATTGTTTCTTTTTAGGACAAATTAATGCATTTCTACCCGTCTTATATGTTTTAATTGTTTTCAGGGAGTAGTTTTGGTCGACGTAAACCCCATCCTTGGTCAGAAAGCAGTGACCGAATTGAGAAAAGAATTCGCTCCAGAAAAAGTCCTCTTCCATCAAGCTGACGTCACAGATAAAGAATTATTAGAAGGTAAAATAGGCCAATAAATATTTATATAAAGTAACTGTTTTCAAATTACACTTAGGTAAGGTAAGGTAACATTTTTATTAAAAACGTACACAAAGTGTAGATGAATCAAAAAGATGAAATTCTAAGAGCTAAAACAAACAGCCAAAAAAAAAAGGTTTACTTTAAGTAATTTTTATTTTTAGTATAATGGATTGATAGTAATAAGGAAATTTAGTATAAAATAAACAAGTAAAATACTTATCAGAAACGCGTATATTTTTAATATAAATAACTAAATTATGAACACGTGGGTACAAAAGTGCAAAAGTTCAAAAATAAATTTGTTTGCGTTTTATGATAACTTTATTATTTAAATTTAATAGGAAATACGTGCCATTTATTTTCAGTAAAATATAAATTCATTTTCAGAACTTTTTGCTTTGTATTTCCTGGTACCACCGCAATTGTTTCTGTTGCCCAAGACCAAATTAACCTTGTGGTGTTGTAGCTGTAAATTATTTGAAAAAGCTAAAGCAGTTTAAAAACCAATTTCAATTTCATGACATTCTTCTTACCTCAGCTTCAATGTGAAGGCTAAACATTTGAACCAGTTTCAATTGTTGAAATGTATTGTGTATATTACGTCACAAAATAGCAAATATGGCGGATATTCGCCATAACGTAAGACTTAAAAGCATGTTTCTAGAAAAATATATTACGAATTTTGTTATTAGGCTGTTTCCCATTAATATTGGCCAGAAATATAATTAATGGTGTTTATTGCTAAGGAAAGAAACCAGTAAACAGTTCATTTTTGAATTATGTACGTACCTTACCCAATGAAAACAAAGTAACAGCTGCTTATTCGAACGCCTGCAACATCAGTTTTGTTTTGACGTCGTCGAACTTTTCAAGTTATTTTTAGACAATAAATATTGTACATACAAGTATCTCTATGGAAAACGGAACACCTTCAAAAATACTCATGTGTCTGTCTGTCATAATCGTTTTTACTTGGAAGCTTACTAATAAATGTAGGACTTTTCAATTGAGCATAGTAATAAAATGTATTTTTCAATTGAAAATGAAGAAGAAGAAGGTTAAATAGCTTAAATATTTTGTATATGTTTCATATTTTCTGTAAGGCGATGAACAGGGAGCAGACGAAGTTCGTACATGACGTCAATGGTAAAGGTCTAGATGATGGGGGGGGGGGGTCGAAAGAGGAGGTCTTCCCCACCACTGTATCATAAAAAGTTTGTGCCGGTCTCACCCCCATAAAAATTATAGGGGTTCAAAGTTAATAAATATGCCAATTTTTATACATTTCTGGGCATGTAAATATTTATATAGTCATTCTTAAACAATATTCAAAAGTAAAACTAGTAGAAAAAAAACATAAAACTATTGAGAAAGTTATATAAAACATTATTTATATATCTGTTACATGTCGCACAGTGCAAACATTTACGTGTGTGTGTGTCACTTGTTTAGTATACGTCAATAATTATCAAATTTATAACTTCCAGTGACTGTCGATCAAACAATTATTTGTGTCGCGAATTCGTTGAACATAAACACTTTTTCGCAACTAGATTTTTGTACTTAATCATAACCACATTAACATTTAGAATTAAGTCAACTTTTGCCAAGTCTAGACGTATTTACGTTTAAAACTATTTTGCAAGATTTTTATGTTAAAATTAAATAAAGTTATAAAATTACAACCATCGTAGTTTAACTTATCTTTATCAATAGGGTAGGTTAGGTTAGGGTAGGTTAGGTTAGGTTAGGTTAGGTTATCGGGTTTTGTTCAAGTGACCACTCTCTTTCGATCCCCCACCTCCACCCGCCTGAAAATATTTTTTTTATTGAATTTTATTTGAATTATAGTGTATGACAATTGTCAAAATAATCAACTTTCAACCGCCATGACTTTTTATGGGGGTGAGACCGCCGCAAATTTTTTATGGGGTTTTACTCAGATGACCACCTTCTTTCGATCCCCCCCTACCCTCTTTCGATTCCCCCTACCTCCACCCCCATCTAACCGCCATAACTTTTTATGGGGTTGAGACCGCCACGAACTTTTTATGGTACAGTGGTGGGGAGGCCTCCTCTTTCGATTCCACCCACCCCCACCCCCAAAGGGCTATCTAGACATTTACCTACGTCAATATTAGAGGAGTAATTAGGACGTTAAGTAATTGCTCTCAGCCCGTAAATTTTGATCGTTGACCTAAATACGGGCCTTATATGTGTAAAAGACGCCCGCTCTCTGGCGATAACATATCTTAGGTAGGAAGGTAGAACAACCCCTAGACCAGAGAAAAAGCCTATATATAGTATTAGAACATTGTTATCAAATAAGAAAAGTTTCTGAATTAGACGACTTTCTTTTGAAAGAGTTAACGGTACTGGAAATTTTGGAAATTCAGCTGAAGTATTCTAAAGCCAGATATTACGTATTTAATTATTTTTTGCATAGACGAAAGAAGATCCTGAAACTCTAATACGTTTCTTCGCGTTTTCATCTTCAGCTGTTACGCCTAAAATGTAACAAGTTATTAATAGAAATATGCACTGTATTTAAAGAGAGGTGCGAACCAAAATGTCAACAGCTTTGCATGCTGCGGTGGTTATCTATATATGTAAAAATGGATCGCTAAATGCGTTGCTAAGCGCAGAAGTTGACAACGGCTGGACTAATTTCGATAATTTTTATTATAAATATTCCTTTAAGTCCGAGGAAGGTTCTCATGAAGAGAAAAATTGGAAAAGTCTTCCAGAAAAACGAAAAAATCAAATTCAAATTGTTCCTAGCTGTCAATTCTAGGGAATATGACGGAGCATCACCTGAACACTGCGCAACCGATTTGAATGATTTATTTTTTGTTGTATTTGTATCTGACACGACAAGGTTTGTGTAAAAGAAAATTTGTGGAAAATCCACGGGAAAATCCGGAAATTTCATGTTATAAATTTTAACATTTTTGTTTTTGGTCAGATTTACATGAAACTTGATATTTATGCTTTTCGTGTAAAATCAAAAACCTATCAGCATTTTAAACAGTTCTACCTCTGAAAGGGGGTGAAAACGGGTTGTAACATTTATATGTTAGATATTTATAGTCAGATTTACTTGAAGTTGGTTTTAATGCTCTTTCATATAAAATTAAACCTCTGCAGGAAGCTGAAAGGGGTTTGCAGAGACTGCATGGAACATTTTTGTTTTTTGTCAGATTTATTTGAAACTTGGATAAAAAATTCAACCTCTGTGGGGGGAAAGGGTGGTAAAAAGGAGTTGCAATGTTTCAATGAGGTCAGATTTACTTGAAACTTCGTCTTCGTGCTCTCTCATTTAATTTGTGAAACACCTATCTCGGCATTTAAAAAAAAAATAAGAGAACAGAGAACTCAATGGAAGTCAACAAGAAATAGGTGAGATAGGTTGGTAGGACACTTCTCAGGCATGAAGGGCTTGTCAGAGACAGATTAGAGGCAGAAACGGGAGTTAGGAGGGTTAGAGGTAGCCCTAGATTAGATTACTGTTCGCAAATAGTTAAGGATGTTTAGCTCAGGATAGGAAGGAGTGGAGGTGCGTGTTAAACCAGTCTTAGGACTAACGATCTCATGATGATGATGATGAAAATTAAATATCAATGAAAACATCACATAATAACTCGATTGTTGTAAGCTATTTTTAGTTTAGTTTTTAACCACCAGGCGTCGTGACTCTGTCCATCAGTTCCCATTAATAAAACGAATCCGGCAATTTTAGTAGATATATTTCATGTCAAGTTTCGTTGCATAACAGCAACGAATGAATCTAATAAAATACAGTAATAAAATTATAAATATGTTTGCAGTGAGATGAGCATGATATTTTTGTAATTATAGTACCAATAAATTAACATGTTTTTGATACCAGTCCACATTTTAGTGTACCTATAATGTTAAAACGAGAATCTATGCTTACAAGTTATTTAGAAAATCTACATCCTATTTTACATGATATTAGCAAAAATGCTGGTTAAAAATTGTTACTAATTTCAGTTTTCTTATTTTGTGTACTATTGTAGGTATATTACATACGGGACAGAATCATGATAAAAAATTGTTTTCGTATTTTTTTAGATTTTTAAAGTTCAATAACAGTATATAGATAAAGAAAGCTCTTGATAATAATTACGTTATTTAATTATTCTACGGAAATATCTACTAATTTTCTACCTAATTTTTGCGACTTGGTAAACAGTAGGTCTTCAAAATAAAAAATATCAGATTGTGAGTCATCAGATAAGTGGGCAGTATGAAATTTTATTCAGTTCTAACGCTTTTCGCATATTTTTTGTTTGCCTATGTTTAAAAATAAACACGAAAATAAAATTTATTGTATTTTTGTAATAGTTTTGTAATCTTGGAATAGCAGGTAACCAACCAGCTCATAAAAATGTCGCGTCTCGAACGTTATCAGATTTCAAAGGATAACAAACAAACTTTTATGTTTTAATTTAGGTAGAAGTATATATATATTTTAAACACTTGTTAATATTAGTAAAGGGACACTTTTGAATTTTTGTGGGGTTAACGTCAATTAATTTTTTGAATTAACCTCAAATTACTGAGGAAAAATTGTTGCTGTTGTCACTCCCTCGCCGGGAATAGAACCCGAGCCCCTGGTTTTACGTGCCTATAATAGGTACTCGTAGCTTAGTGGTATAGTACTGGTACGTAGAAACAACGCGCCCGGGTTCGATTCCCGGAGAGGGAGTGACAACAGCAACAAATTCTCCTCATTAATTTGAAGTTACCTATTGGGATCTGTCAAATGTGAGGAGCCTAAAAACATGGCGCCGATTAGGGAAAATTTATCGTAGTTCCTATAGTGTACCGTGCAATTTCCAAGTTTTTAAATTACGATAAAATGATAAGTATTGACACAATATGTGATTGGGCTGACACAAAGCCTCGGAAAGGAAATTTCGTTGAAGGTGAGCGTGTTTTTAATGCCAATCACATTATAAAATTCGGAAATAACAAATCCGGAAGCTAGCCTTCAAATTCCGTCAAGTTTACTGCCTACTTTTTACAAACTTCGGATTTAAAAAGTGATTCACGTTATATAATTGGTGAGGTGATTCTGGGTGATTTAAGCAATATCATATCAATGACTTGCACGTGCAAAGCCGATTTAAGAGAACGTTGCAAACACATTATTGCAACTTTGTTGTATTGCAGCAGGTAGGTTCTTAACCTCAAAATACTTATATCGTATCATTAGAATTGTGTTAAATCAATTACACAGGAATAAATAATTTCTCACTTTATAATTTTAGTATGATTCTAGTTTTAAATATTAAGGTTATGGCTGATGGTAAATACTTGCTGAAATATAATCATGTGCATTAAAATGACGTGAACAAATTTTTATTCCGGAATTCACTTCTTTGATACCTACTGCTTTCATCCAAGCTTCTATTAGTTTACTTTTTTCTCTAATTTTCCGAATATATTTTTTACATATATAAAACGGTTAGTTTTTATTGGAAAGTAGTTAATGTAGGTGAAGAGTGAAGATCTATGTCTGAAGTGCTATTGCAGCTTTTCACTGAACATATTAACTTTTTATTTGATTTAACTTTAGAAGAAAACTTCGTCGACTCCATCATCAAAAAAATTTTTACTTTTTTAACGTGTTTTATTATTTTAATACACAATTTGCGTGCACAGTTCCTATGTAAATTTTTCCCCCATTCGAGTTATAAATTTTTCCACCAGATGGTGTATGCCCATTTGACGGATCCCAATAGTGGGTAAAGTTAATTCAAAAATTAATTCATTCAATACATTGAATTGTTACTATCATTCTAGACATATTTATCAAACCTAACTATGTTTTGCGTACTAAAACAACAAATTGTTTCACAACCTATCCCAAAGTCTGTACTATTTAAAAATAATTTTTTGACTCTTGATTAATGTACCTATTGCGTTAAAGAAATAATCCAAATGAAATTGCGATATCTAAGTAGGTACTCGGTTTAAATAGCCTAACAATAAGATTTAGGTAGGAAATGTGACATATATTGTAACTACACCCACAATGTAATAATGACAAACAAATGAATAGGAAACAACTGAATTCGTATCAAAACTACCATGTAGATACTCTGTGTTTATTTTATTTTCAAATTTTAAGAATCAAAATTGATTTCAGGTGGATTCAAGCTTGCTGTACAGCGTTTTAACCATTTGGATATTGTCATTAACAATGCCGGAATTTTGAACGACAAAATCTGGGAGAAAGAAGTGGCAATCAACATTGTAAGTAAAACTGACAATGAGATAATATACATAGGTGCAAATATATTACAGTTTCTTTAATTAGAACGTTACGTATTTGTGTCATATTAGCGACATTAGTGCTATGTATTTTCGTCTGTACAAAACACTCACAAGTCGCAAAATATGTGGTTTGACTCAAAATAAAAAATACAAACAGCACTGATTTAATTTGGACAGAGAATTATTAGAAAATCTACTTTCAATTTTTCTGATTGATCAATAATGCGTTCGTCACATAAATTAGTAAAACACGATTAGATGAAGTGTTTTCTTGTGATAGGTTAAATTACCGAAACTTCTATTTTTGTCTGTCTTATAAGGGTGGTAATAAGGCATAATTTAGGCATTTTAATATTCCTGTAAAGGGTAACATACCTATATACAGACACCCTGTGTGTTTGATTCTAAAAACGAAAAAAATAAATAGATTCAATCAAAAATTCTATTCGCTATCAAATGTGAAGATACATTCTGGTATAAACTGGGTCCAAATTTTTAATCCAGGATTTTGGTCATTTGTACTATGTAGTCTCATTTCTTTGACATGACTGATTTCTGAGACATCATCAATTTGAATCATTATATGAAATTTAATGGACAGAATCAAGTTAAATTCTATACAAAAGATTGGCCTCTGACTGCAATGCATCTAATTAAAACCTGAAAGATGAATTGAGACAAAAAACTTAAATTCTTATCATGTTTGGTATTGGTCGAGAATCGTTTCCAGGGGTTTATTAACCATTTAAACTAGGCTATATTAGGTTAGGTTATGTTATATATATATATAAAAAGAATAAACAACAATAACAATAACAAATTGCATTCACTTTTTTGTGTATATTGTTTTTGGGAAAATCATAACAAATATTGATGCGGTAGTCTCTTCCGGACTGTTTTACCATGGTCCATAGAGTTTTGATGATCCAGACGTTTCTTCAGAACGGCGAACATCAAAACTCCTTGGACTACGGCAAAACAGCCCAAAAAAAGACCACCGCATCAATGTTCGTCGATCACGAAAGCCCTAAAGACTAGAATAACAAATATTGTTAACAATTTTATAGAATAGTGTGGTTGTTGGAAGTCTGTTAGCAGTCGACGAGTACCTCCCCCAGTTCTGTGATGGCGACGAATCCTATTTGGTTAATATTGCCTCCATCGTGGGTCTTGATCCCTTCATTTGCGTTCCCATATATTCAGGCACAAAGTCCTTTATAATCGGTTTTAGCCGAGCTCTTGGTGCAGAACCACACTATCAACGGACGAAGGTCAAAGTATTGACTATATGTCCTGGCGTCACAGACACTCCTCTCATCAGTGAAATGAGTGGAAGGAATCTAGGTCCAGATTACGAGGCTGTGCTGGCTGACGAAGTTAAACCACTCAAAACGCAACCGTAAGTTAATTATGTTTATCATATCGAGTGCTTTAAGGCAGAGCCAGCTACATGAGGTTAATTTGAGTCACTCCATACCCTTCAATAAGTACGAGAGAGTAAGCAGTAATGAATAATATTTCTTTCTCTTTTTTTTTCTCCCTTCCACTCCCATATCAAGCCCCTTCATCCCGTAGACGAGCGGAGCCACTCTTGCAACTTAAATAATACCTACGAAAATTTTCGTTACTACGTTCGCAATACTATTGGGTTTGGCTATGGAAGAGGGGACTCACCTACGAAATGGAAGGGATAAGAAAAGGAAAGAATCATCTCACTCGCACTCGCAGGATCAATAAGGAGCTACTTGGTTATACTTGAGGAGCACTCGGGAGCCCGGCTCTGCTTTAAAGAATCGCTAAGTTATAAGTCTACCCAGAATCGCAATCTGTTGTTTATTTTCAGGCCGGAATATGTTGCCAAAGGTCTGATTGATGTCCTGAACAAGGGTACAAGTGGTTCCGTCTGGTTGGTTGAAGGGAAGGAACCTGCTGTTGAAATAGACTTTCCACACCGCGACCAAAGACACAAAAAGTGATCAGCGACGTATGCAACAACGTCTAGGTCATAATAATATTGTTCCCTGTTTAGTTAAGCGAAACCCTAAGATATTTTTGGGGTGAAATAAGCAAATATTACTTCCCTAATGTAAGAGTTTTTGTTGATTTACAAAAATAAGTAATACGTATAATAAATAATTAGAATAAAATGTATGCGTTTTAGTTCATCAGTGTTTATTTATTCGTTCGTCATTATCATCACATGATCGGATCGAAGGTTCATTCCTATCCTCAGCAAGTCTTTGCATTTCCTTAAAATTGGAACATCTCACATCTCTGATAATTATTTAGTTTTTCATCTACTTCTTTTACCTCTTGTTTCTGCTTCTAATATATCCCTAAGCAAACGTTCACGTCTCAGGTTTCCTTCTGTTATTATATTTTTACTAACATCTCCTACAGGATAAGAAAGAGTCGAGGTGCGTGTCCAACCAGTCTTAGGACTGATGACCTTATGATGATGACTAACATCTCATTTCTAATCTCTTCAGTATCCAACAGTACTTTCATCATTCGCCTTGAACACTACATCTCGAACACTTCTAACTCTTCCTTTCTACCACTTGTTGTTTTAATGTTTCTGCTAAAATTCCTGGAATCAAAAATCGGCAACTGCTTTTATTTCTTATTGACTTTTGAAAATTCGTGGATTTCTCTGAGCGATTACTTCTAAAACAAAGATAGCCATCTTTGATTCTGGGCTTGTTAACCATATCTCTGGTGATTTCTTCGTGGTCGCTAATGTTTGGTTACTTCGTTTACTTTCTCTAGCGATGTGCTCCTTCCAATGTCTTGGACGCACGCTGTTGTTCATTAAACATACTTTTTCATACAGTACCTGCCAAAAGTTTTGTTCAATCATGAATAGTAGTGCAAGTCGAAAACAAGCGTTAAAGCCTTTAATATGTCTTCAAATATAAATAAACATCTCGTTGATATTTTCAGTAGTAAATGGTACCAATAACAGCACATTTGAGCAATGCAATTGTAGTGGATAAAATGATCAATTTTTCCGTGCAGTTCTGTACGGATTATACGCTCCTCACCGGTTAAGAGTTTGGCCGAGAGTTGTCTCCTTTCTTTTCTGGCCTAGTGCTGTTCTTTTCTACTTTGCGCCGGTCAAACTAAAGGTCACATCGTTAGAGAAACTAAACGAAGTATAGTTGCAGAACATGCCTTTTAAGAAGGGCATGACATAAACTTCAACCAGACTAATATTCTTGATACCACCAATCATTAGCATACTCGAAATACAAAAAAAACTTTAAAAACTTTTTGCGTTTCATTTCCACCAGTTATTAATGCTGGGCGAGTAGTCTAGCCGAACTACGTTAGAAGGCCCTGAAGCATCCCTTTAAGGATCGTCATAATGGGGGGTGGTAATTGGGGCGAGAAATATGAAGCGATGGAAGATTATCTGTGAAATCGTATCATATCGTCCCAGCATTTGTCTAAAGCAATCACAGGAAAATTTGGACGAACAATTGAATACAAACCTAGCAATCCCATTACACCCTTTATGTGTTTGTCATAGAGGAAGTGAGCTCATTATTGTGAAAATGTAAATGAGAGCAATACATGACTAGAATTAGTTTGTATAATAACTGCTAACTGTTGAAAGATCCAAGAAAAAGACAGTGGTTCTTCCAAGTGGCATTGTGCGGAAAGGGGTAAGTTTAAGGTGCTCATTTTACCAATTTACATCCAAGTTGATATACTCGTAATTATTCTAAAGAAAAGTTTTAGTAATAAATTGCTATTTGTGAATTGTATTTTATTTATTATAGTATTCGACATTTTTCTGCGATATATTTTACTTCAGTTAGGTTAATTCGATAACAACCCCATTTCATCTCTTAAGGTTGATTTTTATAAAAATTTGCCAAAATACCTGTATGTTTGTCTAATTCGATCAATGGCAATTAAAATAAAGTTTCAGGTAATCTAACCACCAATAAAATATGTCCTACACAAACATTGTAATCGCTTGTCACCACTTCAGAATTTGATATTTTTAAAATGTGCAAAATTTCGATTCTCTAGTCCAAGGGTTAAGCCTGGTGGTTGATGAGTCAATGACTAAATGAGTTAATAGTTTCATTTTTATATATATACATACCTATATAGATGACTTTTAAAATGAATATTAGATATACTTACGTCCTTAATCAAATGCCTATCTTAAAATGATAACAGTTATACTTCAGATATACGAGGTGTGTTCAAAAAGTATTGCGAATTTTGAATTTCCGCAGGTTACATATATTCGATTTTCGGTTTTTTGTGGCATTAAGTTGGTGCTAATGTCTCTCATGTTCAGTTAATTTTTCACAACTGCTTTGTTTGCACATGTTTTGATTCATCTTCGATTTTTGCCTATTCCGAAAAATTGGATCAATGAATCTGTATAAAATTTCGTGTTAAAAACAAAATTAAGTGCGCGGGCGTATTCTGAATGTTGATTGTGGCATATGGTGAAGCTACCTTGACTCGAAGCAACGTTTATCGGTGGTACAAAATGTGCTCAGAGGGGCGAGAAGATGGGAACGACGAAGAGCGTGCCAGACGCCCGAACACGTCAATAATAGACGAAAATATTAATGAAGTGAAGAAAATACTATTGACCAATTGTCGAATCACCGTTAGAAAACCAAAGCTCAATCATCCCAATAAAAGCTACCGCACGAGCCAAGACCAAAAAAAACCATGTTAGGTCGAATGTGATGGTTTTGCTAGCAGTTTTCTTCGATTGCAGGGGCGTTGTGCATCATGAGTTCTTGCCACAAAGTAGAATGGTCAATAAGGAATATTATCTGCAAGTTCTGCGCAATTTGCGCGAAGCAATCGGTCAAAAACGCCTGGATTTGTGGAAGAATAAAAATTGGCTTTTGCACCATGATAACGCCCCTGTTTACACATCTTTGTTAGTAATATGCCGCAGCCATCGTATTCCCTAGATTTTTCTGTGACTGTTTCTTGTTCCCGAAACTGAAGAGGCCCCTGAAAGGACGACGCTACGGTACAATTGAGGACATAAAGACGGCATCAAAGGAGGAGTTGAACAAGATCACAAAAAAAGATTTTTTAAATGCTTCGAGGATTGAAAAAAATGTTGGTACAGTGTATAACATCTGAAGGAGATTACTTTAAAGGGAACAAAATAGATATTCACGAATAAATAAATAATTTCTAAGAAAACCACAAAATTCTCGATAATTTTTTAACAGACCTCGCACAAAAATGTACTTAATTTCACTTATTAATTCATGAAACTCTATCTGATCAAAACTAGTTCTAAGGAAGAAATTGGACGGATTATGAATTTATTAATATTTATTTTCTTCAACACCAAACAACAAATACATATTAAACAGACGAGGTAGTTGTTAGAGTAACTTTGGATTAGTTTTCTTTTTCCGTATTTTGTTTAAAGAACTCGGTAGTGTTAAGTTCAACCTATAGAGGACCTGCCTTGGATCAGCTTCGTCCTTCCAAGCTGTACATATAGATTCATCTTCACTTAATGGGATCAACATTTTACTAACTCTTAATTAGTTTATGTAAATTTCTGAACTGTTTATCTCTACTTAGGTATTTTTATAAACTCCTGCCTTCACTTTACTGTCGGTATTTTCATATAATTCTGTTATATAATTTCACCAATTTTATTATCTGCATCAATTATTCTCAACCATTGCAGCATGGGATGAAGTGTACCATCACCGCAAATACACATGAGTGCTACATATACAGGGTGTCCCATTTATAATAATTAAAAAAAGTACCATGGCTTCCTGACACAAAATACAACAAAAAAGTGTTATACAATTTTTCAATCTAGTGACAATCGAGCTCGCAAATCGTCTTTGTAAATTTGAACGTACAATTTGTTTCATTACGGGCCTGGATCTAGGCGACTAACGTCACTCAGCTGATCTAGTGTGGATGTAACAAGTACCTATTGGGAAGAAGCCGAATGCACTTCCACCTTGTAAAAAAAAGGTAAAAGTGAAAAAGAAAAGCGTACCTTTTATAAAAAATGTTGAAATTGTCCGCCATTCAGGTCTGCATCTTGTCTCAACTTTTACAACCATAACACATACTTTTGTTTTCGTACACTAGTACGTTATGTTAGAAAACCTTTACCAAACGCTGGGTGGCCAGGGTTATTTGTGCACCGCTTCTAACTATTCCGTAATCGTTATAATTTCTTTTCTATTTAAAATAGCATAATACTCGATGTCATGGGCCATATTAGGTCCACTTCAGTTTACGATCATGGGATTTTCGATTGTGATAGGTATGTAGTTTTTCTAATATATTCAGTCATCTAATGGACCTTAACGCGAGTGCATTTTCTTCGGCTCATCCGTAACTTAATACCAAACATAAACAATAACATCACCCCAAAAATCAGCTGATTCCGACCTACTGAAGGTGAATTTTTCTATGATCAGCTGGCAATCTTAATTAATTTGCGATTGTGCAGGGCCGGCATCGAAACTGTTATAATTTTATAATTTTTTATTTTGTTTCAAAAGTCAAAAGTGTTATAACATTTTATGCTCCAAATCCCCGTAGGAGTCTGTGGTATAAATATTAATTATTATAACTGGGACACCCTATATACCTATAGTTTTGAATAAAGTAATAGGTATTGATTTTGTTCATTTATTTCATGATGAATTATGGTTTACCAGCTATTCTGTCAGTGACGTTTTAATTGCATGGAAAGTATGTTGTGATTTTTTCTTCCATCGTTGAGTTGTTTTTGTTGTGTATTATCTTTTAAAAAGGTTGTTAAAGCTGTATGTTTGGAGCGCGGTGCGAAACATGGACAGTGGGCGCGGCGGAAAAGAAAAGATTAGAAACGTTCGAAATGTTGTGAATGATGAGGATATCGTGGATAGAGAAGGTTGGAAATGAAGGGGTATTAAAAAGAATAGGAGAACAGAGGACTCTATGGAAGTCAATAAGAAGTAGGCGAGATAGGCTGGTAGGACACCTTCTCAGGCATGAAGGTCTAGTCAGAGACACATTAGAGGCAGAAACGGGAGTTTGGAGGGGTAGAGGCAGACCTAGATTAGATTACTGTTCGCAAATAGTTAAGGGTGTGAGTTGTTCTAGTTTTAGGGAAATGCGAAGTTTAGGATAGGAAAGAG